AGAGGCTCCTGGGCAGTTGGGGGTGTCACGGACTCACAGATGGTGCCCACTCTTGGCCCCGTGCAGTCCGTGGGGGGTGCCCCTTTCAGTGCAACTGCCCTTCTCGGGGGTCCACTCTCTCTCGGGGTCAGGCCTCTCCACCTCCTGGAGCCGCACCTCTCTGAGCTTTAGCACGTCTGTCTCTGCCGTGGGCCCCCTCAGGGAGTCCACTCGCTCTGGACCCCCCGGGCCTCCACCCCTGAAGAGGTCGATGCCACCCTGTTCTCTAGACCGGAGTGACTCTCAGCCAGCGTAACACAGGAGGGTTTATTGAGAGTTGAACACAGCACAGGAAATTCTCAGGGCCTCAGGCCTGGCCTCCCTCAGCCCAGCACATCCCAGTCTCTTTGCATCCAGGTGGGCTCTGCCTGCTCCCCCTCTCCAGCCCTGACCCCCCTGCTTCCCAGCTGGGCATCTGAGATCACCGGCCCCAGGCCCCGCCTCTGTCCATTGTCTTCTCTCCAGGTAAACAGGGTTGTAAACCGGGGCCTCCTCTCCTCGCTTCTGTCCTCTGGCTGGAACCGGCTGGTTAGGTCACTGGGTCCTCACTCTGCAGCCCATTGTCCTCCCACTGGCCAGAACCGGCTGCAACTCCTGAGCTGGGTCTCTGGATCGGGGTCTCAGGTCACCGGTCGCTGGGGTATCCATCCTCCAGGCCATTGGCTGGGGTCCCAAGTTCCCTCTCTAGTCCTCTGTAACAACAAACTCCCTCTCCCCTCACCTCGTTACACCAGTAACCCCCAGGGAAACTGAGTCCCACCCCCTCTGCATGCAAACCATTGAAACCCCACAGAAAACAAGAAAATCCCCCACTTCATCACATGGGGGCAGCTGGTGAGCAGGGGGGTGGGGGATTTAAGAAGTCCATTGGGACCATCTGGCCGGGCTCCTGAACCATCTTCTAATGCTGCCTCCGCGTTGCAGTTCCCCCGGCGTTACCCAGTGCTGTGTGAGAACGGACGGGCGACAGAGCGACAATCACACCCAGGTCCTGGCTTCCAGCCTCCTGCTCTAACCACTGGACCCCACTCCCCTCCCACAGCCGGGAATAGAGCCCCCTGACCCCCAGCTTTCTCCTGCCCTCTAGCCAATGGTGTATAAACAAAACCTGTGTCACCTCCCTCTCTAGGGGCCTGGCCACATAACCACTGACAGTGTCTCCTCCAGCTCGGGGGCAGGGTCTCTGCAGGGACATTAGAAGGTCCCTGGGTCTCTCCCGGCTGGTGACCCATTGCGGGCCTGGGATGGAATTTCTCTTTCTCTGATTTTTTTTTTAACCTGGTTGATTTAATTCAGACGCTGAGAAAAGCCCCTTAGAACCAGGCGTTACAGTGTAAACCTGTCATCACCGCTCAGCTATGCCGCAGCAAACCCAGGTGTTCCCCTTCGCACCCGCTCCTCACACGGTGCCACGGCTCGTGTCGCAGGTGGGCAGGTTTGCAGGCTGAGAGGGAAGGCTGCAGAGTCAAACCCTCCAGCACCAGGAAATACCCCAGTAACCGTTTTCTGAATGACCTTAACTCTGCCCCTTCATGCAGCTCCCATTACGACGCCAGCCTTTAATTGCATGATCATGTATTAACTTTACCGAAATGGGTCACCAGCCGGGCTTGAACCCAGAATGAAAAGGAGATGGAATTTTCATGGAAATCGTGGTCAGTGGAAGGTTGAAGACCAGACCCGGTGGTTGCCTGGCTCTCAGTCTGATGCACCTTCCTCAAGGCTGCAGGGTACGTTGAGGTGACCTGTACCCCCTCTGCACAGATACACGGACAAACTGGGAGCTGCATGATGCTTGGCCAGGCTGACAGTCCCTGGGTTTCTTGGATTTTGCAAAGCCCTCTGCTTACTCTGATCACAGTAGATTTCGCCTGAAGTCTAGAGACAATGTGTGATGGAGGCAGGAAGCGATGAGACTTTATCAACTTCCTGCAGCTGGAGCCACCAGCTGAGTTCCTCATTTGGGGCTCGGTGGAGCTGGGCACCGGGGTGTTGGAGGAAGCACTGAGGGCCCCTCACTGCTCCCATCATGACAGCTGCTCTCATGATCCTCTTCCTTGGTGAGTATCGGAGACAGACAGGGCTTGTGTCCATGGGGGGCGGGGGGGCAGGATCTGAGACCAGGGCGTGTGTCCTTGGGGTGGAGAATTGAGACTAGAGTGTCTGTCCATGATTGGGGTCTGAGACCAGGGTGTTCATACATGGGGCTGGAGAATGTGAGACCAGGGTGCATGTCTATGGGGTAGGGGGGCAGGGAATCTGAGACTAGGCCATGTGCCCATTGGGGGTGAATCTGAGACCAGGGTGTAGCATCCAGTCACCCTGGGATCTGCTCCCTAACAAGCCGTCTCCTCTCCAGGCTGCTGGCTGGCCGGGCAGAGCAGGGTGTCGGGAGGTGAGTATCTGTGTGGCAGGGGAAACTTTAGTGTTCAGGACGGGGTGGAGTAGAAGGAGAGGAAAAGAGGAGCTGAGTCCTGAACCCTTACCCCAAAAATCAGTTCAACCTCCTTGTCTTGATCCCAGGGGGTTGAGATCAGAACCCAGCCCTGCCCCCTGTGTCATTGGGAGTGACTCCTGATTGATCCGGGAGTGTGGAGGGGTGACCAGACCTCCTGTTTTTAAAGGGACAGTCCTGTATTTAACCCTCCCGCAAGTGTCCCGACTTTCTCTTAAAAAAAGGCAAATTGTCCCATATTTTCTGTCCTCCCCCCATCAGTACTGGCCGGATCCCTGCTCGCCAGCCACCTGCCCACCAAGGGTGAGTGGTGGGGTCCGGTGGCCGATGAAGGGGCTGGGTATGCAAGGCTGGCGGCGGGGCGAAGATGCAGCGTGTGGGACCAGCCACTCCCCTGCTAGTTCTGGGATCCCGGGGGCGCTGAGCTGGCCCGAATCCCTGGGTCCCATCCTCTCCCCAGGGGAAGAGCCACCATTGCCGACTGGGAGAGGGGGTCCCTGTATAACTAACCACAGACACCAGGGCTCCAGCTTTCACACCCCTGCGCCCCACCCCTGACAGACGCTGGTTCTATTCCCGCAGGGGGAACCAACATGACTCAGCCGGGAACAGCGCCGGCTCCCACCCGCCCAGGCAGCACGGGGCCAGGTACCGAGTCTGGGGGCAGGAACTCGTCATCAACCCTCACAGAAACAGGTTTGTGCTGCCGAAGGAGCCGTCCCTTGGAGGAGCCATGAAGGGCTGGCTGGGTGGGATGGGGACAGATTCCCACAGCAAATGCCCCATATACTCCCCTACTCCCGCCAGCCTCATTTCATATGTGGGTGGAGGTGTCACTAGACAGATGCCAGTTGGTTTGGCGGGGGCAGGGCCTGGGAGAGCTTCCCCCCAATGTACAGCCCCAGCCTGGGGGCCCCACAGACCGGGGTTTTGTGCTGCTCACCAGCACCACAAACCCACCCCTTTGGGGCACAGCTCGGTGTGTATCCCCCTGGGAGAACAGGGCTGGGGACAGAGAGATGGGGATAATGATCCTGTGTATCCCATCTGTCTGCCTGAGTCTGCAGACAGCTCGGGGGAACGGCTCAGAAGCAGGGCTCCCCCTTTGCAGGGGTGCTGCCCAGCGGTGTGCCAACCCTGGAACCTACCAACCCAGATAGACACTGTGTTCACTCTGTAACCTACCAATTCCATGTGACACAGTTAACTCTGGACCCTAATGATGGCCATTGCTACATCACCCGGGGCCTGACAACAGTACTCACTGTCCCAGGATCTCGCCACCCCAAGAATTTCTCTCCATTGACCACCACTTTCCATGTCCACTGCGGGTCCGAGGGGCCTGATCCCAGGAGAATACAAGCAGACATATATGCTGGGGGCAGTAGTGGGAGCCAGTCTGCCACCCCACCCATCTGGCTAAACAGCTCTATGGACTTGGGACCCAGAAAGGGGGCTAGATGCCAGAGACTTTCCACACGGCCAGCCTGGTTCCAATTGCCAGCCTTCCCAAAGGCCACGAGACAGGCATCTGTATCTCCCCCGTCCTTAACCTGGGGCAGCAATTTAGTGTCGAGGTTCCCTGCGGCATTGGCACCCCAGGGTCCATCCCCACTCACCCCTGGACGGGTCCCTCTGCCTCTCAGCTCCACCATCGCCAGTTCGTTTCCTGCTGTTCTGCCTCCTGCCTTCCCTGCCTCTCACGGTCCTCTGACTCCTTCAATCTACGCTCCAATTCCATCCATCTCAGATCCACCCACCGGAGACCCCCTGCTGATCAGGGACATGGGTCTCTGGGATGCCCAGCTGCTCCCAGCCTCTCTCATGGCCTCAGCTGGGCCAGGAACCGGCTCCTTAGAGCGACCGTCCTCTTCCAACTGAGCAACCAGCTGTGCCGTGGTGAGCTTTCCAACGCGCAGCCGTCTCTCTGCACAGCTCTGCAATGTCCTTCTTCAGGAGATGGTTATAGGCCATCTCCACCCTGTTCCCAAGTGGTCACGGACTCAGGCCTGTGCTCTCTCAGCTCCTCACGGTCCCTGGGAGGATCCCCTTCAGTGCGACAGCCCTTCAAGGAGGTCCACTCTTTCTCAGGGGTTAAGCCAGAGAGCCCTGAGCCCTGGACCCAGCAGAGGGGACGCCTAGATGGGGAGCGAGGACGGAGTCACTTGGGGGGTTCCCCAGCCAGGGAGCAGCAGCAGCTGCTGGAGTTACAGGGCCGATGGCTGGGTGCTCGGTTCTCTCCCTCCTCCGTCCCAGCCAACGCTTGTTTTCATCCCACAGAGGGAACTGACCCAGCTGGGACCCAGCAGCCGGATCCCCCCATGACGAAACCAAAGGGAGAAGGTGAGTGGGAGAAATGGAACAATTCATCCCCCAGGGAACAGGGCTCCCCGCTCGGGTGCCCACGGGGCCATTCGGGCTGTTTGGAGGGGGATGGTCCCTGCAGAGAGAACTGATGGGCTGAATTCTTCTATAGAGAGGGTGATGGATAGATCCATGGGGACGGCCGGCCATGGGTCAGTGGGAATATGGGTCCTTGGGAACGTAGGCAGTGGACAGATGGGAGCACGTCTGTGAGGACAGATAGAAAGATGAACTAGGACCTTGTCTACATAAAAACTGGACCCGAAATGACAAATCCTGTGTGGTTCCCAACCCACACTGGTGATCTCAGAGCGAGTCTGGGCTGTCAGAATTTGCCCCCCGTGGTTTGATTCAGCCCCATTTGGCAGACAAGCTCCCCTGTAGCTCTATAGACACAGGGACGTTCCTCCTCCCAAATAGGGACAGCCGCACCCAGACCTGCTCCGCAGTGACTCCAGGTGTGAATGGCACCTGGCTGGGGCAGGGACCGTCTCTGTGTCGTGTGTCTGTACAGCTCCGAGCACACAGGGGAGCTGGCCCACGACAGGGGCTCCTGGTAATTAATATGAATCAGTAATGATTTTATCTCCGGTTTCTGTGGAGCCAGGCCGGGGCTTTATCTGCACTCAGGGTCTCGCTGGGTCGATCCTCCCCATTCTGGGATCCCAGGGGCGCTGAGCCGGCCCGAATCCCTGAGTCCCGTCCTCTCCCCAGGGACGCCGGCTCAGCCCGGGGAAGAGCTGCCATTGCCGGTTGGGGGGAGGAGAGGTTCCCTGTATAACTAACCACAGACACCAGGGCTCCAGCTTTCTCACGCCCCTCCCGCCCCAACAGACGCTGGTTCTATTCCTGCAAGGGCAACTAACTTGACTCAGCCGGGAACGACGCCGTCTCCCACCCAACCAGGCAGCGCGGGGCCAGGTACCGAGTCTGGGGGCAGGAAATCGCCATCAACCCCCCCAGAAACAAGTATGTGCAGTCCAAGTAGCTGCCCCTGGGGGGAGCCACAAAGGGCTGTCTGTTGTGGGACAGGGGCAGATCCCCACAGTGAATGCCCCCCAGACTCATTCCATATACGGGGGGAGGGCGGTCACTGGACAGATGCCAGAGTGGCTTGGTGGGGACAGGGCCTGGGAGAGCTTCCCCCCAACGCACAGCCCCACTCCGGAGGTGCCACAGACCGGGGCGATGGAGGGAGCTACAGCTGCCAATAGAGCACCAAGTGGTTCCCGCCCGTCTGGTCGGAGCCAACCCCCTACCCCAGCACTGAGCCCCCGCCTGCACTCCGAACCCCTCGGCCCCACCCCCGCCACACATCACCTCTCTATGCACATAACAAAATTCATTCCCTACATGGATGTAAAAAATGAGAGGGAACACGGCCCTGCCCCCAGGGGGAGCTGCAGAGCAGGGGGGCTTTTGCCAGGGGATGCTCCCCCGGGCTGCCACGGCTCTGGGGCTGCACAGAGGAGTCGGGGCCCAGGGACTGCCAAGTCAGCACCGCCCCCAGCCATGAAAATCCCCCTCCCCCCACACCCAGAATGACCCTGAGGATTGATGCTGAGTCGTGGGGGTGGGAATTGCTGAGTCGCTGTTTCAGCCCCTCCCCTCACCCTAACAGATGTTGGTTCTATTCCCACAGCGGGAACCGACCCAGTCCAGCCTGGAGCGGTGCCGGCTCCCACCTGCCCGGACAGCGTGAACCCAGGTACTGGGGCTGGGGGGAATCTATTGAGTCACAGATTGTGGGGCAGCTTCCCCCCAGTGGTTGCCCAGCAGGAGGGATGGAGGTTGTTCTCAGAGGCAGTGACCCCCCCCCGATGGATCTGGGAGGGGAGCAAAGTCTTCTGCTCAGACACGAACCTGCCGCTAACGGGGCAGCCGGAGGCTTCCTCTGAGGGAGCTGGGACCATCAGTGGCCCTGGTGGGGGGCTGTTCTGGAGCTCCCCATGAAGCAGTCAGGAGCAGCCAGCATGGGAGGTGGGATGCCGGGCTAGATGTGCCCATTGGCATCAGCTGCTGTGGCCAGGCCAGGTTGGTGCCATGGTACTGTGAGGGGCAGTAGCGGGTGGGGGAGGGTAAATGATTACTCAGACAGCACCCCCTAGTGCCACACTGGGGCGCTGGGGCCAGGCCTGCCTGCCAGGGGAGAGCGCCCCCTACTGAGACCCCTGCAGCCCAGCGCCCCCTAGCACCTAAATCCTCCAAGTCTTGCTTGCTCTGACCTTATAGAATTTTCTGCTGCCTGTGCTCTGTGGTGTCCCAGCCCCTTGGGCGCCACCTGGGGTGGGAGGGGCTGGGGGGGGACAGACCAGCTGCTCTCGGCACTCACAGCTGCTGCTGTTTCCCAGGTGGATCAGAATCACCGAAGCTGGCAACGACGTTGGCATCTCTGGATCCGACCAGCCCCATCATCTTCGGGATGAGCACAGCAGCCACTGTCCTCCTCCTCCTCCTTCTCGTGGCCTTGGTCTGCTTCAGAAAAACCCGAGCCAGTAAGTGCCCCGCCCAGCAAGGGTTAAACCTGCCACTAAGCAGGGTGGGATGGGGTCACAGCTTGGATTGGGGACTGTACCAGGAAAGCCAAGGAGCAGGGGGGCTTAGCAGAGGGAGCTGTTGCTTGTGGAATCCCTGTACACACAGCTGTCCTACCCCAGAGGTGGCCGCATCTCAGAACTGAGGGAGGGGCCCCTGTATAACCAGCCGCCGGCACCGTGCCTAGCAGGCAGGACCGATCAGAGTGGGGGCCAGGAGGCCATTTGGCCTGGGCCTCAAGCTCAAATGGGGCCTCAAATTTAGACACTTGTTAATTTTTTTGCATTTGATAAATTTCGCAACTTGTCTTTATGCGCATCCCTATCGGACCAAAATGTGACCCACACTCTCAACTTAGAGCTGCAGATTTAAGCAAACACGAGATGTGATTTGGTAAAAGACATAATTTTTTTGTTAACTGATATAGATTTTGTCATATTAAAGAATTAAAAATGTTTATAAATATTAATAAAAATCGATCAGTTCTGATGGCACAAGATTAGACCGTGATCAACTCTCAGATCAGCTGATTATATAAACTAACCACTACTAGTGGCTGGTGCTGGATCAAGTGCGCGTTGAAAGGTAGCGAATTGTTACCTTTTAGTGTCTTTATAGTTTTATGTCTAGTTGACTAAGGAATTATTTATGTGTGAGAATTCCGCATTATTAGCTTAATATGGTAGCTAAAAGAGGTGACTGGTTGGTTGGTTGAGGCCTAGCTTAGTAGCTTGGCCATCATCATAGGCTTTTGTAGTCTATAGGCCCAGATTCAAGGTGAAAATTTGTGAGGACAATCTTGTAAAGTGAGTTTCATGAGGACACACGTTTGAAATTTTTGGACATTAGATGGTCTGCACAGATTGATGATGTTCAACCAGTTGCGCAGCATTTGAATTCAATGAGAAATGCTTTCAATGAGCTTGAAGCTCTTAATCTCACTGCACAAGCTCAAATTGAACTTCAGGCTGTTCAGAAGCACATGTCCAAATGTGAATGCATTCTGGTGTCATCTTTGTGGATGAAGCTACTTACAATCCACCAAACTAATCTGGTAATTGAAGCACACAATGCTACACTTGATGTTGAGAGGGATGACATTGAAAGTCTTATCAATGACATTCAACAGATTCGTGAACAATGGGATGCGATCCTGACTGAGTCCAAATTAGTAGCACAGAATATTAGCATTTCGTCGGCGTTCTCCACCAATCGCAACTTGCTGACCGAATGGGATGCCGAGCAGCATTCTAGGGTCAATGTCTTCCTTGTCATCATTGACTCTATTCAATCAGGTCTTACACGTTGATTGAGTCACTGTGACTAATTTGTACCCTTGTTGGGGTTCTTTGGCAGTTCAACAGAGTAATGAAGATCTACTTTCTGCAGAACAGTTTCAGCAACAGTAAACCAAAGAAATCTCAAAAGATCTCAGTGATGCGGTCATCTTCCTCAAACGAACATATTCCGCCAACTTTAAATTGGATTGCAAGCCAAAGGAATTGCTTCAAGAAATATTCAAACTTGGACTCTCCGGGGTGTTTCCTAATATCACAATTGCATTGTGTATATTGTCAGTTTGCCTGCATCAGTGGCTCCAGGTGAACGCACCTTCAACGTGTTGAAGCAGGTAAAGAACTATCACCGTTCAACTATGGGACAAGAGCGTTTGAATGGGCTCGCCATGCTTAATATCAACTGCGACATTGCACGAAAGAAAGATTTTTTCCTCAGTAATTAGTGCATTTGCACAGAAAAAGGCTAGAAAAGCATTTGTTAAATAAAAAAATAATCAAATTCGGTCTTACCCTTTGTTTGGTGCCTTATTTTGCTGCAAGTGGCCCAGGCCTCTCTGGACCACTGAGAGGGCCTGCCTGCGCCACGGGACGCCCTTGGGGAGAGCTCCGGGCCCTACAAGGCACTGGGGCAGTCGGGACGTGGGGCACCTAGAGGAGAGGTTCAGGCCCTACAAAGCAGATGGAGCCATCGACAAATGGGGTGTCTTAGGGGCCATGGCTTGTGGGCAGCACCCCCCGTGCCCGGAGCCTCAGGACATGCTCTGATACAGCCATGCCAGAGACGTGGAATCATCCCGCCAGCCTGAGCTGCCTGGGGGTCGTTCGCACTGTGGTGGCCGTTGAGCCTGCGAAGCGGCCCGGCTGTGAGCTCACATGTAAAACCCACGGGCAAATTCCCCAGCTGTGCCAAGGCCCCAAGAACCAGAGGAAATTGGGGACGATGCTGAACGTTAAAAGAACAGGAGTACTTGTGGCACCATAGAGACTAACAAATTTATTAGAGCATAAGCTTTCGTGGACTACAACCCACTTCTTCGGATGCATACAGAGTGGAATAAAT